TGGGTCCACCTGTATCCCTATAATTCATTTAATTCTGATTTAATTTTAATGTTTTCTTTCCATCTTCTGGCTGGGGTTTATCTTGCTGCTCTTTTTCGAGGAGATTCAGATGTCTCATTAAATTGTTGGTTTCAGATCTCTCCAATTTGTTGATGTAGGAACTCAGAGCTATAAACTTGCCTCTGAGTACTGCCTTTGCTGTGTCCCAGAGGAGCTGGTAATTTGTGTGTTCATTTTTGTTGAATAGCATGAACATTTTAATTTCCTTTCTAATCTCTTCCATGACCCACTGGTGATTCAACAGTGTGTTGTTCAGCCTCCATGTTTTACAGGACTTTCTTGAGTGGCTTTTGGTGTAGAGTTCTAATTTTATTCCCTTGTGGTCTGAGAGAATGCAAAGTATAACTTCACTGTTTCTGAATTTGGACAAGTTTGCTTTGTGACCTAAAATGTGGTCTTTTTTGGAAAATGTTCCATGTGCTTCTGAGAAAAATGTGTATTCTTATGCTGCTGGGTGAAATATTGGTAGATGTCTGTTAAATCTAGTTGATCTATGCAGTTGTTTAGATCTGTGGTTTCTCTGTTGAGTTTTTGCCTAGTTGATCTGTCTAGTGGGGATAGTGGTATGTTAAAGTTTCCAACAATTAATGTCTTTGAATCTAAGTGAGATTTGAGGGAAAGTAGTGTTTCTTGGATAAATTTGGGTGCTCCATTGTTTGGCGAATAGATATTTAGAATTGTAATATCCTCCTGAAGGATAGATCCTTTAATTAGTATGTAGCGACCTTCTTTATCTCTTTTCACTAATTTTAATTTGAAGTCTATTTTATCTGATATTAGGATTGCAACTCCCACCTGTTTATGGGGGCTGTTTGCTTGGTAGATTTTGTTCCAGCCTTTCACTTTCAAACTATGTTTGTTTTTATGGGCAAGGTGTGACTCCTGAAGGCAACAGATAGAAGGATCTTGCTTTTTAATCCAACTAGACAGTCTATGTCTCTTAATTGGAGAGTTAAATCCGTTAATGTTGAGAGTTAGGACTGAGAGGTATTTGGAAGTTCCTGCCATGTTATCCACCTTCTTGGGGGCTGTGACAAATGGGTTCTTCCTATGGTTCTTGGATTCTCAGTTTGGATGCAGTTTCTTGGCCTTTATTGTGGTCTTGTTGGTTTTCTATGTTTAGGACATATTTAAGTATCTTTTGGAGGGCTGTTTTGGTGGAGATATATTGTTTCAGTTTCTCTTTGCTATAGGTTTTTATTTGGCCTTCAGTTATGAAGGAGAGTTTAGCTGGGTACAGTATTCTTGGATGATAGTTTTTTGTTTTTAGGGCATGGCATACATCATTCCAGGCTCTTCTTGCTTTAATTGTCTCTGCTGAGAAATCTGAGGTGATTCTAATTGGTTTCCCTTTATAGGTGATTGATCTTTTCTCCTTGACAGCTTTAAGGATCTTTTCCTTGGCCTGAATTGATCCTGTGTGGATTATAATGTGACTGTAGGAGTCCTGTTCTGGTCTGGTCTATTTGGAGTTCTAAAAGCTTCTTGTATCTGAATAGGCCTATCTTTTTGCATGTTTGGGAAGTTCTGCTAGGATACTGTTAAACAAATTTCCTAGACTTCTGTCTCTAGGTACTCCTCCACACCCATTATCCTCAGATTAGGCCTTCTGATGGTGTCTTCCAAATGTTGAATAGATCTATCGTATTTCTTGGATTTGTCTTGGATAGTTGTATGTTCTTTCTCTATAATATCTAGGCTGTCTTCAATCCCCGAGATTCGATCTTCTGCATGTTCTAACCTACTTTCAAGGCTTTCTACTTTGTTTTTTATTTCTTTTCCTTCTAATTGGTCAGCTTTGATGGCTTCAAATTCTTTGTTGGAGCATTTTTTAGATCTTGTACGAACTTCTTTACTTCCTTAATTTGGTGTTCCGTGTTTACTCTCAAATCACTTAGCTGATTGGTTATGGTTTCTTTGGACTCCCATTCCTTGTGTCTGGCTCCATTCAGCATTCCCTTTGTGGTCTCCCTCTCCATCTGAATTCTTTCAGCTGTCTGTTTATGGATTCCATAAATGCTTCTATTGATCTTTGTCTATTATCATCCTGCTCTTGCAATTCTTGTGTTACTCTTTGATTAGCTTCCTCACGTTCACACAATTCCTGCAGTTCTCTTTGACTATTCTCAGCCTGCTCATGCAATTCCTGTGTTTCTCTGTGTCTGTTGTCAACCTGCTCATGTAATTCCTGTCTTTCTCTTTGACTGTTCTCACCCTGCTCACGCAATTCCTTTATTTCTCTTTGACTGTTCTCAACCTGCTCACACAATTCCTGTATTAATCTTTGAGTAGCTTCCTCATGCTCATGAGATTCCTGCATTAATCTTTGGTTTGCCTGCTCTCTCTCTCTATCACACTCACACTGAGTCCTTTGCAAGTTTTCAATCTTTTCATTCACCATGTTTACCATTACTGTTTGTAGAGCTTTTGGGGAACTCTCCTCTGGATTATTCATTAACTGTTCTGTCACCTGATTATCATTAGTGGGAGTTGAGATACCCGGACTTGCCATTTTTCTTGTGTTTTTCCTGCTTATTCTGCCCATTTGGTATGAAAGTAACACCAATTTCGTGCTAGAACACTATTTTAAGGCAAGCATCAACCAGAGTCTTGTAGTTGCACAGTCAAAATGGCTGCAGATACAATCTAGTTCAACAGATACAATCTATTCAACATCAAACAACTATGGATTAACAGGCTAAGAATAGCAAAGAAGAATTTGGCAAATCAGAAATTATTAGGTTTAGGGAGAAATATGGGGAAAAATAGGATTAGAGGGATGTGGAGAAGTAAAAGGAGAGAGAGGGAAATGGATTGGACAGAATGATAGGAGAGAGATTTTTTAAAAAATGGAAAAACAAAAATTTAAATTTAAAAGTGAAACTCTTAAAATTATGTAAGTATAAAGAAATGATATTGGGAGAAGAAAAGGATAGGATGAGAGGAGGGGAGGGATAGAAAGGAGACATGAAAAACTAAAAAATAAAAATCCTTAAAGTTAGTTACTTTTATATAGGCATAAAGAGATAATACTGCTATTAAAGAAGTTAAGCCTAAGAAGTTGTGAATTGAGTAATAAATTTCTGGATTAAATATGTACACAATGGGGGATAAGGTCTAATAATCAACAATGGGTATATATCTGGGGATGAGCAGAACAGCAATTAAGTCACACAAAAAAGAAAGAGAAAAAATGAAAAGAATAAAAAGAAAGAGCAAAAGGTCAGAAGAGATTTAAAACACACACACACATATACACGTAAAATAAAAATTATGAGAGAAAAAAAGATGAATAGAAAACAATTTAAATTTTTTTTAAAAGGTACAAAGAGTTCTTTGATTTTTGGGGGGGGGGGAATGGGAAGATCCTGTATCTCCCCTGTGTCCATAACCAATCTCTTGGTGCAATCTCTGGTCTGCTTGTGGTTTTTGGTTTTCCTGTGGCTTGATTGGTTTCTTAAGTCAGTTTGTTTGAGCAGGCAGAAAAACGCTTTGGGTTACCCAGGATTTTGTAATCCTCCTTCCAGGTTAGTTCAGTGGGAGGGAGATCTGCTTTGAGTATCACAAAAGAGGGAGATGGCTGTTTCCTCTAGTTTGGAGATGCTGTGATGAGGCTAGGTTCTGGATAGGGTTGAGCCCTTTCAGCAAATAGTAGCTTTTCCCTGAGATGCTAGCTCCTGAGACACTCACAAGAGCCCAGCCTAGAGTCGTTCTCTGGGTTTCTGTTTACTGAATTTCAATTGTTTAGGCTGCTGTAGGGAGGGGCAGCCTCTGGCTCTGTTTACCCACTGAAGAAAGTCACTCCTCTGGGGATGGAGCTTTCTCTGCCTGGGCGGGGTGACTTTCCCATGGGTGGAGCTGAGCCTGGCAGGTTAGGTCAGGTTCCTGCGACCTGCTAAATGACTTTTTTTGTTATCTTCCAAGGCCTGAGGTGGAGCTAGCTGCTCAGCTGGGCCTTTGTCAGTATCAAAGATGGAGATCTCTGGTGATAGGGGAGGGGTAGCCTTCCCACCTCTGCTCCCTGAGAAGGAGTGGGGATGTCAGGGTTCTACTCATGCCAGAGTCTTGGTTCCTGGGCCGTCTCTGGTCTGTGATCTTCAGGATGAAGATGTCTGCTCTTTGTCAGTTCTTGCTGGTGTTGAGTAGAATCTGTTCGCCTGCTGTGTCTGGCGCCTTTGTCCCAGACTCTCTCTGTTGTAGGTAGGGTGACTACGGCCACCACCATTGCTGCCACAGTTGCCACAGCCACAGCTACGGGCAAGTGCTCAGATCTGTCTCTTTGCCTGGATTTTCCCTTTCTGGCCAAACTCTCTGTACTGTGATGGCACACTTGGTGTGATTCTCTAGCCTAGGACTGTTCACTGGAACACTAAAACTGCTTTCTATGTGAGAGTTTGTTTAGCTTCCAGCTTCTCCTCTGCCATCTTCCTCCGAACCAACGATGAGTTCTTCTTCTGTGTCTAGCACCGTGCCACATCCAAGGAAGACATTTGACAAATATTTTGAATGGGAAGGAAGAATGAGATGACCCAAGGTTGTGAGCCTTAATCTCCTCACCCTAGCCTTCTAGGAAATGAAACATAAATGGAGAGGTTGGGTAATCTTGACAACTGACAGAGCCATGCATTCTGTGCATGAGTTCATGTGTGTGTGTACCAGTAAGCATATTTGTCTGGTACAACTTATACATATATTTCTTTTGGAATAAGTGCTGAGAACCTGACATTGTATAGGACCAGAGTGACTAGGCTGTCAATTTGGCTGTATGAGAGGGGGCAGTCCAAGGAGGGATTTAGCGTAAGTGGAGAGCTATTGCTGTGTTGCAACCCCACCAGCAGCCTTGGAGAGCTGCCTAGTTATGGCCATTCTAAGGATGGTTGTTGATTAATCTGGGTTTGAAGTCCATTCCAGTGTGGTCCCTTGTCACCAGGCTAATTGGACTTGATGTTGGAGACATCTTCCAGACACCTAGGCTGAAGAGCCAGCTTCTCCATCACTACTTTTGTGCTACACAGACACCTTCGGTAAGTCATTTTGGAGGAATTGGGGTGGGGGTGGTGCCTGGGCTGTGAGTTTGACCACTTGGCTTGAACTTGATAAGTCCCAGGCAGAAGCATTAGAGGGTGGTGTCAGCTGGGTCTCTGTTTCTCTCTGATCTAAAGCAGCTGTATCCTTCATGGTCCACTTGACAATGAAGTAGTCTTTCCAAAGGGAGGATCTTTCCAAAAGATTAGACTAGAAATGATAGATATGTGGCCTTTAGTACCATCACAAGAGGGTTTTATTTAAGAGACAAAGAGGGAAATGGAGAAGGTTATGTTCCCAGGATATCCTCATAGATGGTCATTACTCACTGAGTCCAGGATTCGGGGGGGAGGGGGTAAAGAGGAGCCAACAGGCAGGTTAGACTAGTGCAGGCACAGTAGTGTGAATCAAGGGCCAGGGATGTGGAGATCCAAGGCTGGAGCAGAGCAGAGAGAAAGAGATCTGAGGCCAGGGAGGTCTGGCCTGCCAAGATATCCTACAGAAAGGCCCACCTCCAGACAGGGTGACCAGCAACCTGAGGGCTGCCTGAATCAGGATATAGGTATCACACAGTGAGGGTTCTTGCATGGTGCCTGCCAGGCCTGGGTGAGGAAACTCCAAGATGCTGGGTAGTTTTGCCTGGAAGAACTGGCTTCTGAGTGGGAAATTTCAAACCAAGAGATACCTCTGGATAGTACCAGTGACCAAAGTTTCCAGAATCCTGCCTCAGGAAATATCTGGAGCCTCCAGGAAGTTCCTGTCACAACACAAAGACATTGGGCAAGATGGCAGGTGCACTGCTGGGGAAAGAGCTCTGTGGATAGATTGTGTATTCCAGCACATAAAACAGGGTTGTTTTTAAAGGAGAAGAACACAAAAGGGCAATGCCCAGGTGCATCTGATCATATAAAATAATGTTTATCAAAATGAACTCCAGATATTGGAAAGTTTTTTTTTTGTCCTTTGTTGCTGATCTCTTTTCTTTTTGTCTTGTTTGTAAGTTTATCTGTCTTTGGGTGGATAAGGGGGAGGTCACAGAAAAAGAGAGACAAAGGGTGAACATATGCAGCAGTGATACTCAGTAGACACTATGTTAAAAATAAACTACACAACTTGTAGGTGGGAATTGGGGAGGGAAAATCTAGGAGAGCTCAAGGGAAGGAGTAACATCATCCCAAAATAAATGTACTCATTACCTTGACTTACATAACTATAACCCTTCTGTAAATTGCCTTTATAATAACAATAAAAAGTTTTTTTTAAGCAAGGGGTTTTATTTACAATGGAAGAATGAGTATTGTAAATCAAGTCTTGCCAACAGATTTATCTTGGGTCCTCTGTTTATGGTTTGGGCCTACCTCCAGGGCCCATAGGAAAAAGAAGTTGAGGATTGGGGTCTTGTGGCCATGAAAGGGAGCTAAGACCCAGAGCAGCAACAGACAGCTCACATAAGCAGTGCAGTTTCTGTGCCAGGCCACCTGGAACAGGACTTAGTTTTTAACTTTTAGTCTATGGGACCACAAGAAATAGAATATTGAACCACTAAGTCTTGTGTCCACAGGGGCTCATGGTCCCAGGGAGAAACAGGAACTATTCCTCTCACATCTTCCTTGATTTCCTAAACTAACTCCTGTCTTCACAGTGGTTGGTCTCCGTGGTGGCCTGGGAGCCATTCAGAGCCAAGGAGTGTGATATGTGATACTCTCAGTGTAACAGTCTCAGCACAAGGTATAGAGCACCACAGATGGTATCAAGTGTTACCTGGGCAAAATGAGATGGAATTGCTTTCTTCCACATTCCCCACTCAAGGTCAAGGACCATGTTCCTCCTGATTTCACTTCTCCTGTGTGCACTGAAGGTATCCTCCTTAGAGCTGACCACCTGTGAGGATGCCCAGAAGGTCTCTGTGCTCACCTGTGGCAGCCCAGGCCGAGATGGTCGAGATGGAGCTAAAGGAGACAAAGGAGATCCAGGTACAGTGTTGGCAGCTCCAGATTCCTAACCTTTACCAAGAAGGAGTTGTTTTGTGTGGAATGGAGCTTAGAGGCCTGGTGGATGGGAAGTGGGGGGGCGGGCAGAAAGGGGAATGGTCAGCTGTCATTGTTTTGAGGGCAAGCCCACTCAGAATAAATCAACCTTTAGATCTCCAGGTCCCATATTTCCACCTAGGATTCAGTGATGTGTAAGCAATTGTTCCTCTGGCTGGATCTTCCAGGTAGGGAAGGGAGAAGAAGAACTTTTCCTCTCCAAGTCTCCTTGGCTGATAGTTGGAGACTGTGGGAGTCAAGTGTTGAGATTCTAGAGAAAAAGAAGGAGCAATAGCCAATGGAAGACAATGTTTCCTTTGTCTTCCAACAGGTGAGGGGCTCCGGGGCTTACAGGGCCCGCCAGGAAAATTAGGGCCTCCTGGACCTTCAGGAGCAAGAGGCCCAAAAGGAGACCCTGGAGACAGCTTTGGTAAGAAGGTCACCTCAGTGCATTTGGTGTGTGGGGACTGGAGGGTAGGTAGCAGGTACCCTAGGTCCTGCAGCTTCACTGGAGCTTCCTGACCCAGTGTCACGTGGGGCCTGGAAGGGTTCCTCTGGATGCAAAGAGCAGACTTTCAGACACAGAAGGGCCACTCCCTTATCAGGCCTAGAAGGAGATGGACCCTGGTTTTTCTTCTGCTGAAGAGTCTGCTTTGCAGCTCTAGGCTGGGGAAGAAATGGGCCCTTTCAGGAGATGCTCTTTATCGGTTTGTTACCAGAGTGGCATGAATATAATCAGCCTCATACAACTTCTGGGTAACTTTGTTCAGAATAAAATAGGCAAATTCAGTAAAGTAAAAGATGTTATTAAACTTGAGGGATGGGTGGGGTTTAGATATATGTAGGCAGGGGTGGGGGAGAAGAATGATAGAAGAGTTGGCATTGCCCAAGATGCATTGTACTCATAAATTGACATGTTGAACTGAAAAAATAAAATAATAAAACAAATTCAGCCTAGCTACTTAGGAGTCTGAGATCTGAGCATCCTAGTTCAAAGTCAGCTTGTGCAGAAAAGTCCATGAAACTCTTATTTCCAATGAGCCAGCAAAGATCTGGAAGTAGACGTATGGCTCAAATGGTAGAGATCCAATCTTAAGTGAAAAGGTCAGCCAAGAGTTCAAGGCCCTGTGTTCAAGCCCCAGTACTGGTACACAAAAAAAATTACTAACATTTATCTCCCAATCCATCAAAATAATTTTTAAAATGAAAGAATTTTCCTGAGCTGCAAAAAAGTCACAAAGAAATATTTTCCAAAAAAAGGTCATTAATGGGCATTTTTGTATAAATCACTATGATATCACAATATTTAACCACTATGGGAAGGAGTAACATTTTCCAAAAAAAGTTTTCATTACCTGTCTTATGAAATGGTAACCCCTCTGTACATCACCTTTATAGTAACATGTTTAAAATACAGTTTATCATTTTAAAAATTAGTTAACCACTACAAAAAGAACTGTAATCACACTGGGCTCTAGTAGCTCAATCCTGTAATCCTCGCTACTCAGGAGGCTGAGATCTGAGGATCATCAGCCTGGGCAGTAAAGTCTGTGAGACTCTTATCTCCCATTAGCAAACAGAAAAAGCCAGAAGAGGCACTGTGGCTCAAATGGTAGATTGCTGGCCTTAAGCAAAAGTTGCTCAGGGACAAGGTCTAGGCCCAGAGTTCAAGCCTAGGGACTGGCAAAAAAAAATTACTATTATTATTAATTACTTTGTACAAAATGCTCTTCTCTTTAACGTCTGCTCTTCACTAAAATACCTTCTCCCCCCTTGCCCCCCGCCACTTGACAGTTGCCCAAACTAAGCTGGATGCTTTAGAGAAGGAAATACACAAGCTAAAGTCAGAACTGGACCGTGTTAAAAAATGTAAGTGTTTCTTCTGCCCCTGTAATGGTTTTCCTGACTCTCGTGGTGTTGTTCCATGATCTAGGGGTAGGGGAAAGAGAAGAAGAGAGCTAACCTTATGAATACAGGTACTGCACACACTATATACAGGACCTCAGCAGGGATGGCATCATCTTACTATACGATACCATCCATCTTCTCACCAACTCTATCTGTGGTGCTTACACTTACGTTATTTACAGGTAAGAAAAGAAGCTCAGGGGATGTAGGTAACACCTTCTGCACCATTCAGCTAGCAAGGAGCAGAAAGAAAGTCGAATGGAGGTCTGTTGTCTCTCCTTCTCCAGCCACAGTTCTCAAGTAGCTCTTGGTGCTTCTTCCTCTCCTGCTGCCCAAGCAGCAGTAGTGAGGCCCCGGAATGTCTTCGTGTGTTCTGGCAGGTTTTAGCGGAGGTGGAGCTGGAGGGAGGGATATCCCAGGAGAGTCAGGCTGTCTGCCAGGGCTGGCGATGCCCGCCTTGGGTCTGCAGCCAAGGGCTACCTTCTTCCTAGGCTGTGTACCCTGATGGGGAGATTCTCATTACTGTCCTCACCTGGCCTTCAGACCCATCAGTTCTATCTTGTCTTTGTGATTTTCAGTGCAAGCCTTCTCTCTGGGCAAAATGCCTGAGAAGAAATTCTACGTGACCAATGGTAAGAAGGTGCCTTTCACCAAAGCCAAGTTTCTGTGCACAGAGCTGGGGGCCACTGTGGCTGTCCCCAAGAATGCTGAGGAGAACAGGGCCATTCAAAGTGTGGCCAAAGACGCTACCTTCCTGGGCATCACAGATGAGGAGGTGGAAGGCACATTCACCTATGTGACAGGTGGCGGGAGGCTTGTCTACAGCAACTGGAAAGAGAACGAGCCAAATGACTACGGCTCAGGGGAAGACTGTGTGTGCATGAGAGTGGACGGGCTCTGGAATGACATCTCCTGCACAACCTCCTTGAACTTTGTCTGTGAATTCCCAGCCTGAGGAGACAGCTTATTGCTGCTCTTCTCCCTGGGTCTATACTAAGCGATCTGCTGCCACTTGTAAAGAGAATCCACTGCTGGTTTTCCTGTGTGTGTGAGTGTTCAGTCATTGCTAGGTGAGGAGATGGAGGGAGATACATCAGATTGTGGGCTGAAGAAATCAGGAGAAGCTGAAGGTAGGCAAGGATCTGGCCCAGCAGGGGCCAGATCTAGAAACACAGTACCGAGCCAGAGTCAACCAAGGGAGGGCCACGATAAACTCTCTCCTTTGACCTCGAGGATGCTGTGGCTCACCAGGGGAGAACAAAGATGGACCACGTCGGTGTCAGAGTGGGCAGTCCAGCTCAGCCACAAAGGCATCCAGTCCTTTTCTCTAAAAATTCCCGTTAGCAGATGACAAACTCTCCTGGGCCCAGGCTTCTTCCTGCCATGGCTGCCATGCCTATAGTTTCTGGTGTGTGTGTGTGTGTGTGTGTGTGTGTGTGTGTGTGTGTGTGTGTGTGTGTGTACCTCCCCAGAGCTCCTCTCTACCTGGCAGTGTCCTACACAGCAATGTTAAGTTCTAAAGGATCCCCTCCCCCTGCCAAAGCAGCTGTGGACTGTGTTTCGTCATTTGGTGATCTTGAGGGCAATGGGGAGCTTTTTCTTCCTGCTAATTTTAGGAAACTGATATGAGATCAGGGTGTAAGTATATAGCAGAGGGGAAAGCAGTGAACAGGTGGGGTGTGCCCTTCTCCCCACCTCCCCATGATCCAGGCTGCCCTCCCTTCCCAGCTCTGTCACCTCCTCCTCCCACATGGGTCAGGGGGTCCAGCACTCACAGGAGGCCAACCTTCTCCTCAAAAGTGAGCTTTACATTCTCAATTATTTGGCACCAACAGTCAGCCATGGAGAGCCCCCTCCTGGGCAGGGTTCTGTGCTGTCTTCATTATAGCCCTGCTCAGGTTTTCAATCATCTCAGAGTGAGTTGCTAGGAGTCCACAGAGTCATGCAGGATGAATTCTAGCCCCATTCACAATAAGATGTCAGGAAACATTTTATGAATGGCTAAGGGCCACTCTCACAAGTAAGAAGCTTTCATTAACCTGCATTTTCTGTTGTACTTCTCTTTGGATCTGAACTAGCAGGAAAAGCACTCTGTAGGTAATATGTGCTTTGGTGAATACTTGTTGAATGGATGCTTCCAAAAATTACAAATGGATGGACAGGTTGAAATGGAGGTCTGGTGGTGAATTTCTGCTCAAGAGGGCAACTTTTGTAGGCTGAGCCAGACATGTATAACAGTCAGGCTGGGCTGGGCCAAAGACACTGGGGCCACCAGGTGGAGGCAGCAGGACTTGTGGTCTCTAGCATACCTAGACTGTCATGTTACTGAATTCCCTTCAGGTACTTCACACTTTGGGGACATGAGAGGAATATTTTTGTCACATAAAACCAAACATTCCAGCATATTCAATTTAAATCCAAATTGCTTATCAAAGACATCAGAAACTGCTTAAAACTTACCAGCAGCATGGAATTAGGGGTTTAGATAAATAGAAAAAGGAAAGGTAGAAAGTTTGTAGAAATGAGGACAGTATACACCAAAGACAACTTAGGACAAGAGGATGAATGAAACAAACACAGGAGTTCTCACATCGAAGACAAACGCATGGGAGAACAAGTGTGTGCCAGTACTGGGGCTTGAACTCAGAGCATGGGCACTCTCCCTTAGCTTTTTTCACTCAAGGCTGATTCTCTACCATTTGAGCCTTTTGTGGTTAACTGGAGAGAAGAATCGCATGGGCCTTCCTGCCCAAGTTGGCTTCAAACCAGGATCTTCAGATTTCAACCTCCTGAGTAGCTAGGATTACAGACATGAACCATTGGTACCCAGCCTAGTCTTTCTCTTTTATAGAAAGGATTGTCCAGGTCTACCCTGACATGAATGCAATGAAAACGTGCAGGGCAAGCTCAGGTCCTTCTGTTCTCCTCTCCGTTTTTCTCTCCCTCCTGCCCACCACCAACATCACTCCATCATTTGAGCGTCACACTTCTGCCCAGAGAGCTCTCTGAGCCACCCAGGACCTGTCCTGCTCCCTACGTATAGCACAGCCCGCTCCTGACACTCATTCTGAGAGTTCTTTCTGAGTCTTTCTTCTCCCAGCTCACCTTGCAGGGTGCATGGCTTTTTTTACAAGCCAGAGATGGGTAGAGCTCAACCAGCACCTGCCAATCCTTTCTCTTACATGTCTCCCTATCACCATTCTGTCTTCAGTCTAGACTAGAAATGAACTACCCACTAGACTCATTTCCTAATTCTTATCAGCAAGCAATAGGGACCCCGTGCCAGTTAGTGTGAGGGACTTAATCCAAAAATACAGGATTTTCCTAAGAGTCCAAAGTCAGAAGTTACAGACTACCCAGATCCTCCCACAAGAAGGAAATGATAAATTTGAAGTGTCCTTCTACACAACCTCTCTTCTCCTCACCCTCTTTTCCACTCCTCACCCCTCCCTCCTGTCCTAGGTATGCTTGATATGGCTTGCACAGAGAAGCCAATGAAGCCAGGCACTCTAAAGACAGACCTTAGGAGTGGAGATCCGTGCCACTCATTCTCCATGGTGGACTTTGGACCAGGGAAGAGGCAGGCATCTCTGAGCTGCCATCTTCTTTTGCTGTCTTTTGCACCAAGTAGCCCATGCTTTAGATCATCCCTGGAAAGCAGGGTTCTGAATCCTCTGCAGCCTGGGTTCTGGCCCTGGAGCCATGCCCAGGGGAAGAAAGGCCTGGGTTTCCCTGCGTGTCTTCTAGGGTTGAGGAAGACATGGCTCAGTGGGCAGGAAGTTCAGAGTTTATGAGCAGCAGAAAAGCTTGGATTTATCTCCCTGTTTCCGTACTGAAGGGCATGTTGGCTTCCTGGCCTCAGTTTCTGTGTCTGGAACACCAGTCGCTAAAGGCCTCTGTTCTAGAGCTGTCTGAATCAATGATCACATGGGCGTGCAGACTGGGGGTCTCCTGTAGGAGCAGGTGCTGCTGAACCTAAGGACTGTTTTCAATTTTCTTGCCTGTTGATTTTGTCCAGTCTAATTCAGCTACTTATGAATTTTATAGCAAGCCACGCTGGAGGAGTTGGAATGTCAAATGCCCTTGAGATGGGGACTTTGTTATATACATATGTGGATATATGTATATATCCACATATGTATGATATATAGCATATGTGTGTGTATGTAAATTTCCTCATAAGGAAATAGCCAGTATGATCAGGATTTGCTTTGTATGTTAGAATGAAAACAACTACTAAAGTTTTTTACATTCAAGGCCCAAGTTCTGGATCCTGAAATTGCAGGACCTTGCTGCTACAGGATATATATAAAGATGGACAGACAGACAAGACAGACAGACAGACAGACAGATAGATAGATAGATAGATAGATAGATAGATAGATAGATAGATAGATAGATAGATAGATAGATAGATAGATAGATAGAGTTTGGGGGTTACTGGAGCTTGAACTCAGAGCCTGGATTCTGTCCCTTTATCTTTTTTGCTTAAGTTGGCTCTTTCTATTTCTGGCATTTGGGGAGTTAATCGAAGGTAAGAATATCGTGGATTTTTCCTTCCCAGGCTGGCTTGAACTTCAATCCTCAGATCTCAACCTCCTGAATAGCTGGAAATACAGGTGTAAGCCACTGGCACATCTTTTTGTTTTCAAGAGTTCTTCAGCTCTGCTGCTTTCAGCCATGTTCCAGCCAGGGCAGAGACATACTGTTCCATCTGAAATCCTGATATTCTCATCTGTTAAACCTCTTCCTACCTAGGACCAGACATCCACCTGTCTCTATAGCTTTGGAGGTCCCTTGGCTCCAAGTGACAGGCCCTGGGCTGTGTCCCCCACAAAAATACATGTGTCACACAGCACAGCCTCTGACCTGGGATGGTTGTTTGCTTATTATTATGTAAATGTCCTGTACTTTGGAACTGGGCTTTTTTCTGCACACACACACTCCTCCCCCGGCCCCCTCTATTTACTAGGAAAGGATCAGTTGTAATCAAGCAGTCTAGCCTGGAGATGCCAGGAAGAAGTTTTGAGAAACATATGATTACCTGATAACCCTATGTTGCTGACCAATTTCTGGGAAGCCTGAGAGCTGCTTAGGACAGAAGTCCATCTGGGAAGGGGCGTTTCCACTCTGCTAGCAACAAAGTGAAAAAGAGACAGTTGTTCCCAGCAGTAATCAGTTGGGTCCAGGCAAGCACAGGAGTCACACTTAGGAGAAATGGGGTACAAAGAGCCATGTATTAACTAGCAAGTGTTTTAGACTAGATAGAAGCTGACTCTCTTGGCCCTGTAGGCAGTGATGTTGTACTGTGAGGTTCTTCAGAACCATGGTTAGCAGAATCGACTGGACCTGATTGGAATTGTCTGGAACCTGACACCATCATAGGACTGTGGCCTCATTCTGCTTTAAATCTTTTAAATTTAAATCTTTACTTTAAATTTTAATTTAAATCTTTCCTATTTACTTCTCTCTTTACAGTGTGGATCCTAGACAATCTCAACTACCAACTTCCACCCAAAGCCTTTCCTTTCTCTCTTAGGGTCTAACTGCCTTTTGTGACCTTACTTCATTTAACATAAATTCTTCCCAGACCATCATTTCTCTGTAAATGACATAATATTATTCTTCCTGATGCATGAGCAAAATTCCATTTTATGTGTATGTGTATATATACATATATTCCCATTATATATGTATATAGTTACAACATAATTATATTATATAATATTATACATTATATAATAATTACATTATATATAATATTTTCTTAATGTATTTGCCCATTGAAGGACATCTGGGCTGTTTCCATAATTTGGTTGTCATGGATAGTACAGCAACAAACATGAATGTGTAGGTGTCTTTGCTATATTCTCACTCATAAGCTTTGGGATAAATGCCTTCCTCTTAGCTATTTATTTGTTTAAGTTGTGTCAGTGTGGAAAGTCATTAAGAGAAGGGACTATGGAATTGAAGGCCTGGGTCCAACTGGCTCCTGGCTCTCCCATTTGAGCAGGCCACACACACTGTGTGCTTTTGTTC